GCCTTGCAAAATGATAAGGACGGCAAGGGTCCTTTGCACTCTTATTTCTTATGTGAAGTAGACGAAGATGAGGAGAATAGAGGAAGTGTAAGAAGTGAAGAAAGTGAGAAAAGTAAAAAGAAAGACGTGAACGAAGATGACCTGTTCACCGCGAACATGTATCTTGCTGAAGATCGTATTCTTTGTTTTGAGTTGGTGACAAAGCGAAATTGTTCTTGGGTATTGCATTATGTTAAATCTGCTTATGCGGAAACCGATGTACCGGACAAAGTAACGGGACTGATTAAACAAAGACGACGCTGGTTAAATGGTTCTTACTTTGCCAGTCTATATGCATTAAAGAACACATTTGCTATCTTGCGAAGTGGTCACGGTCCATTCCGAAAGTTTGCCTTGTTTGTTGAGATGATGTATCAGTTGTACAGTCAAATTTTTACGTGGTTCGGATTGGTACTTAATATTCTTAAATTACTTTTTATTTATTATGATCTTAAAAAATTCTTTATTAATGCACTGTTTTCCTAACATGCTTTTGGTATTTAGGCTAACCTTTATTTGACATTTTACATTATGGGTACTACCCTGACAAATCTTGGTGTCGCCCCAGATGCCCTGTTCGAGGTCTTGTCCTTTATCTATATGGTATTGATCATTGTCCAAGTTGTTTTGGCCATGGGAAATAAACCTCAAAGGTAGTGTAAAAAGACATTATTTAATAATGTAACGTTATTCATCATGCAAAAACCTAATTTAATTGTTATTTATAGCTCCAGATGGGCCTATATAATTTCAATTTTATTCTTTTCCTTGATCATGGTTTACATGCTGTTTGCGGCTGGTTGGATTACATATAAAGGTGTCTCTTTGCAACTGGAAGCAGATAGAAATGAAATCACTGGTGCTAACGTGTCCACTGCTGATGCTCTCTTAAAGGATCAGGCTTTTAGAAATATTATTCTTTCAGTAGTCTGTACATATGTATTGTACTTTGTTTCTAGTTTCTTATTTTTCGATCCGTGGCACATGTTTACTAGCATGGGTCAATATTTATTATTGGTTCCATTTTACATTAACATTTTAACCATTTACGCCTTTTGTAATGTACATGATGTCACGTATGTATTTCATTCACTTATTTATTGATGAACCTTTTGGCTTTTACTAATCCACTTCCATGCATTGATAGATGGGGTACCCGAGAATCTAGTAGAGATTTGGGCTCCGCAAAAGCTGTGGGATCCGCAAAAGCTGTGGGATCCGCAAAAGCTGTCAATCATAATAAAGAGAACGCATCCAATAATTCAACTGAGGTAGAAGTGGAAGCGCCTGTTGAAGAGACAGATATTAATGAAACATATGATGAGGCTATTAATGTATTAAACCAAAAAGACAGGAAGAACCCATCCTTTCTTACAACCAAGGAGAAGAGGGAAAGAAAAAAACTAACATTTCGCACATATTTTGTGCTTTTTTGGTTTATTACTAATATTGCATTAGTTTATGGTATCCAAAAATTGCCTCAAGAAACAGTAAATAGCACTTATGTAGCTTTCATTCTGTGGTCAGTAGCAGGATTGGCTGCATTTAGGTTCTTTGGTAGTTGTGCATATTTATTATTTCGGTTATTGGCTGGCTATTAAAATGATTTCGCCGATTTATTTATTTTAAGGCAGATTTGCCATTTATATTAGAAAAATCTGGCTTCAAAAAATTCTTATCAAAATACTTTTTTATGGATGTGTAATCTTAAGTAGAAATTTCCAATAACCTTAATAAAATGTTGATTATTTTTAAAATTTCATGATTATAATGCAATGCCTGTTTAGAAAGTGTTTATTAAGTCAATTAGTGGGTTTTATATTCTGACATTTTATAGCTTCTGCAATGCTCCTTTGACGTAATTTGAAATTTTAATAGCATCTCGTGACAAAAATTATTATTTTTTTTGGGTCAATCCCTATTCGTGGGTTACCATTATAACTCAAGCTTATCCATAAATTTACTTTGGTTTGCATAATTTTAAAGCAGACAGCCGGTTCGTATTAGATCACTACAATTAATTAATCTGAAGTTTTGTTAAGTTTTTCATTGAGGATGAATAACCGAAATGCATTGATGTGATATAATTCAAGAAACCATTATCCAAATTCCTGATATGTAGCATAGCCACTATGTATAAAATAAGCCGTTATATTACAATATTTAATACTGTATCTATGCTACGTGTCATCTACCATAAAAATTATAAAATATATAAAAAAAAAGAATTTTTTTTTTTTGTTACTTCAAAATTTTGTTGCAAGTTATTTCATGTTTTTATGCCACAGTCACATAATTTATTTTGGATTTTTATCAATATTATTTCTTATTAAATTTTTTAAATTACTTGAGTCTTTTAAAAGATAAATTTAAAAAATACTGCGCTTGCATCTTTTCTCACTCACATAAATATAAAATTTCAATTTTTTGTCTCAACATAAATTTCTAATTGGATTTACTTTTGCAGCGACTATACATTACCAACTCGAAAACATGGCGCTAAAGATGTTGCGTATTTTTTTTTTGAAATAAATAATATATGCGTATAAAATCTTACCAGAACCCGATACGGTAGAATATAATCTTTTAATCATAACCCCAATGGTATTGAGACTGCTTTTGCAAATCCTGGTGGAGTTCTCGGTCGAAATGTCATTAGGTCTCTATGTAAGTGGAAAATGATTTTACCATCTATCACACCAATAACTTCTGTCTTTACTTGTTCTGTTGGCATGAAGAAGCGTGCATGCTTCTCTACACCAGATAATCTCTTTATGACGAGGTAAATATTGTCCATATATCTTTAAGTGGCATACAAATTCTTATTTATACATTGAAAAAGTTAGTTACTGTATTTTCAATCCCTCTATAATACAGCTTGTAGTATAAGTAATGTGAGAATTTCATCATTAACCTTTCAAATAATAAAATTTCTTTTGTCTATAAAAATAAAATTATTTAAATCAAAAGGTTGTGTCATAGATAGTTTTTTAGATAATAATATTGTAAAGTTTTTATTATAATAAATGTTTTGTCAAAAAATTAACTATTTGATCTTTATTTGCTTTAGTGTCAAATTTGTGTTTTTATATTAGAGATATTTAATTTTGAGTTTAAGGATTGGTGCTTATATATTAGATTGAATTGTATAAATATTTTAAAGAGAAGTTATTGGATTTTTGTAAATATTCTTTAGATACTTGTTTATTTTTAGAAATTATCAATATAGATTAATTATTTATAAAAAAAAGTTTCAGTTACATAATAAGCTTTATTAATAATTTCTATTTATTTTAAGTTTTTTTATATACTGTATTTAAAAATAGTTTTTCTTTTCTTTATAGGTACAATCATTTTTAAATAGTATTAAAAGCTCTTTAATATTATTTATAATAAGTATATATTTAGTAAACTAGTACTATTTTATTTTTTTTATTGCAAAGTCCTATTATTGAGTTTTTATTTATTCATTAATACAGACTTATATACATAAATTTAATTGTGATTCTATACATTTATGAAATAAAAAAAATACTATGACTCAGTATTCTAATGATAGAAACTTTGTAACTTGCTATAGTCCACCTAAGTAAGTGCTAACATATCAGGACTTTATTAGTACTATTATTTATAGAGAAAAAGAAATATGAAAAGTAACAGTTATTGAGTATATGTTTTATAATAATGTTTATTAGTTCTATATATAATTATCTAAACTTGTCTTTTAGGTATTTTTTGACTATATATATATATTTAATTATAAACTACAACTGGTATTAGATATGAGCTTTATTAAGAATTAACTTAACATTTGGTGGATAACTATATCCGTAGCATGATATCAATCATCTCATATAAACTATTTATTTCTCTATATATGCAGATTAATGATAACCTATTGCAATTTGTTCTAGTTAAACCAACCACCACTCCTTGAGTGGGTAGACCTAACTAGGGGCCAGATAATTAATACATAGTTATCAACAACATGACTAGATTAATTGGTATTGAGCTTGTTAATTTTGTATTTATTATTGTTTTATTAAGCTAGTCCTTTTCATATGTACCTGATGGGATATTTTATACCTCTAATATTCCTAAATATTATTTACTCAGATCTCGGAAGGGTGCATGTTACCTTCTTTATTAGCATCTGTGATATCAGATCAGTCCTTATTAAGTGATTTTCAATTAAGTGGAGCACTGGATTGGGATATCCTGAACTAGGAGAGCAAGAGTTCTGAAAACTGCCAGGGTAGGTGTCTTGAGGGCATCTATGATAGGTTAGACCAAAAGCTTTTTTTCATGCAATCCTTCTGATAATATGACTATAAATCTCAGCTCTAATCAACAAAAGGCCAGAAGTCTCATCTTCTATAGCCTAACCTGATTGGATCTTATTTCAAATAATTGGGTATGACTTTCACAGGATAACTGGTAAAACCTGATCAGAAGGTAATTTTGATTTTTGATCCTTAAGTAGTATTGAACTATAGACCTTGTTATTGTGATCTGGGAGTACTACTACTGTACTATTGATCCACAGCTCTTGTTTTTTGACTATATTCTTTATTAGTTATATTATATAATATTAAGTGAACTAAACTTGTACATCAATACAAACAATATATTATATATTGTAGCATTGTTATATAAACTAATTATATAACTATATTTAGACTATTTTTAATGTAATAAAAACTATCTAGTCATATGATTACTATATATAACAACCAATGAAAAAGAATATGTGATACTATATTTATTTTTTTCAAAACAAATTTTAAAAGGAATTTGGTTATCCAACTATTATATACTCTAATCTGTATTATAGTTTTTAGATACTTCAATATAGTACTAGCAAATTTCTTCTTATGTTAAGGTTTTTCAATCATGGACTTACAAAACCCTAATAAGTATATGTTGATAGACATATAATTGATATACAATTTACTTTTTTGTACTAGTTTATCTATATAAGAATATCTTTTAAAATAC